CAGGCAGACATGGACCACAATCTTCTTATTTATACTTTCTGTAGAGCTAGGATGATGGGTATAAACTACTGCATCTAGATATTTATTGGTTGAGATGCCTTGGCTGACCTTGAGCTACAGTTCCCTCCCCCCCCATCTCTGACTGCCTCTTGAGTAGCTAGAATTATAGGCATGAGCCACCATGCTCAGCTAGGAAATAACTACTATAGAATCATAAAAGTTGCTTCTCAACCAGTTAATATTCATCTTCTCAGATTGTACAGTGAACTTTCTCCAACAGTGGGCATGTCCTATAGCCATAGGAGAGTTATTTGTTGCTCCTCTTAGATGGGATCTACATAAGCCGGAAGTTTCAAGCAGGTTTGGTTGGAACTAGGGTACCTCCTCATCTCTTACCCTCTGATTTAGAAAGCAAATAGGGATCTATTTTTTTCCTCTAAAAACACATGACAAAAACACCCTATTTTATAAAACCTAGACTTAAAGCTTCTGTAAGACCAAGAGCCCTCACCCAGCTACAATTTTGTGCCTTAGGAGCATTTGTCAATGTCTGGAGCCGTACTTGTTTATTGTCATGTCTAGATGCCAGTAGTTGTGAGCTGTCCACAACTACTAGCACCTAGTAGGTAGTGGGCAGGGATGAAACTAAACATCTTACAATCCACATGACATCCATCCCAAGATGTCAATTGTCCCACGGTTGATAAAGAATAAGGTTTTATAAGTTTGTAACTCAAATCTCAGAATTCTGAGCCGTAATCCTATCAATTATCCTGGTTGGGCTGCCTAGGTCACACGTCCATTCCTGAACCAATGACTGTGGCCTAGGGAAATGGGATGAGCTGATTGGCCCAAGCCAAACAATGAACACTGTTGGCACTGGGGCCAAAAAAACAAACAAACAAAAACCTGGGTGTATCTCTGGTAAGGATAAGATGCTGACCAAGTAGGCAGCCAAAAGTCCAAATCCAAACACTTAGATATAGGAAAGAAGTTAGTGTGCTTTAGCATAGTGTTCCATGGGGAAAGCAGCTCCGGTGAGATTGATGACAGCATGAAGCATTCTCTATACACTGCTATTTTAATATTTATTTATTTGTTTCTTTTGGTGCCAGTTCTGGGGTTTGGACTCATCAGGACCTTGTGTTCCTGCTTAGTATTTTGTTTTTGTTCAAGGCTTGTACTCTACCACTTGAGCCACACCTCCATTTCCAGCTTTTTGCTGGTGAAGTGGAGATAAGAGCCTCTCAGATTGGTCTGTCCTGGCTGACTTCAAATTACAATCCTCAGATTTCAGCTCCCCCTGCCAAGGCAGGTATGAGCCATATGTATCTGACTACACTGGTTTTCTTTACCAGGTTTGTTATAAAAGATAGAATACTGTTACAGATTAGAAGAACAAACACGTTATATATTTCCCCTATATTCGGGCTGCTAGAAGATAAGATAAAGTCCACCTAATATTATATCTACCTTTTATATGACTTTCTGTTCCCAGTACAATATCCCAGAGTTCCTATTCTTAGATGTTCATTCTAACATAACTTAATGGCAAAATAGAGTTTTAGCAGAAGCAATTAACCTTTAAAGAACAAGTTTAAAAATATGAAAAGCCAAAATCCTTTAATAAACAATTACTGAAAGACATTCAAATGGACAAGATTTTCAATATTTGCACATTCATGATGCATTGACATTATAAGAAAGCCAAACCATATGCATCTTTATTTGGAACATGTAACCCTCCAGCAGCTGCTGCTGTGCTCAACACTGAGGATAGCAAGATACTGTGCACCCTAGAAGTTGAAGGTCATATGCATTTGCATGGTTATTTACATATCCAATTCTTTGTCCATCTTTTCCTTTCAAGGAAGCCAATTAGAGCTTTTTAATATTTACTGCCTGTGATAGCTTTCAGTAGCATGGGGGGGTGCTTTTCTTTTTTTAATTTTGCATTTTTGTTTTATTTTGGCAGAGGGGGATCTATCTCCGCTTCTAATGTTGAGGGCCTTCTTACTCTCTAAAATCAATATGGAATAGAACTCAGTAACTGCAATGGTAACCACTAGCAGAAAGGATAAACTTACTTTAATTCTATGCTTATTTCTGGGGCTGGACGTATGAAAACAAGGCTTTGTGTAGATAGATTTTATCTAATCTAAGTTTCAATTAGAAATTTCCTTTGGGTATGTATGTGTGTGTTTGTGTGTGTGTGCAGGTACTGGGGCCTGGACTCTGGGCTGAGCACTGTCCCTGAGCTTTTTTGCTCTTGTACTCTACTAGTTGAGCCACAGCTCCAGTTCCATAGTTTTGGTGGTTAATTGGAAGTAAGTCTCAAAGACTTTCCTGCTGGGGCTGACTTTGAACATGGATCTCAGCCTCTTGAGCAGCTAGGATTACAGGCATGTTTGTAAGACAAAAAAGTCTAATAAAATACATAAAATGTAACAAAGTTGACCCGAATGGCAAGTATTTTAATTAAGTAATAAATATGGCGTCCTTGTATACTTTCACCACTCACCTACATGTAAGTTAAGATGAACCAGTTATATAAAACAGACTACCACATGATTGTACAACTCAGCACCTACAACAGGATGAGTTAAGATTTAGTTTCTGATGCTGAGTTTTCCCGAGCAGTATTACTATTTTTAAAAGAATTCATTGAATTCTCACTGCCATACTAAATATTTTATTTATATCCAATCTCCAAAAATTGTAGCAAAAAAGTTATTATTTACTATGATTTTACACACGGTAAACAACCATACATAATGATATGCATGTTTTATGTACATTTTTTGTCATCACATAAACCTTGAAGTAGAACTCAGGAAAGAATAATAATTATCTTAAGGTCTTACAGCTCACAAATTAATAAGCCTGTGAAGTTCAACTCCAGGAGATGGTGCTCTTATAAGCTTGACTTTTTATATCATGCATCTTAGCAATTAGTGCCAAGATTTGAACCTGACCCAAATCTGTAAGGCTCTGCTCTTCTTTCAGTTTCCTCATATAAAATGTGGAAAGCAGACCAAGCAACCACAAAGGACTTTCTATTCAAAACTGCTATAGTCCTATGGATTTAAAAAAACAAACAAACAAAAGACCGTTTTTATTTCCTGGTAGTACTGAGGATTGAACTCAGGGCCTGATGCTTGTTAAGGCTGACACAATTTCTCACTTGAGCCATGCTTCCAGCCTCTTTCAAGGAAGAGTTTCCTGTCATGCCCAGGTGGGCTTAGCTACTATCCTCCTACTTGTGCTCCAGATGTCCCTGGGTATAATAGGAACACACCACTGTGCCCAAGGCTTCCCTGTAGTTGGGGTAACACGCAAGCACTATCATGCTCAGGCCTTAGTTAAGATGGAATCTCTCAAAGTTCTTACTATCCAGAACTGCAATATCTCCATCTCTGCCTTCCAAGTAGCTTGAACTACCATACCCAGCCAATTCCATAGATTTTTATAAAAGTTTTCACTTGGAAAAATTAAAAGGTTGTGGTTTCAAGTTTAGGAATTGTATAACAACACCAACAAAATCATTATAGCCAACCCTATTTTCCAATTTAAGAATACAACAAATGGGAGATGGCTACTGTTATGCCCATTTTAAACATGAGTTAAACAGAGCAGGTTAAGTAACTTGTCGGCAAGTCAAACCATCATGAAAACGCACCTACAATTTATGTAGAAAGCTGGGCTTTGGATTTGTCTTACATTTAACTTCTTGATGAAGGGGGACTGCCATACTCTTCACTGGGTGTCATTTTCCTAACTCTGTGTGACAACTCATTCCATTCCATTTATTCATTCACACTACAGGAACTATTCTCATTTTTATGGGTGAAGGTAAACTGCCATCTCAGGCAAACTTAAAAAAGATTTTTTTAAAAGGATATAAAAGACTGGGTAATACCAGCAGCCCAGCTCTGTTTTTCTTCCTCTGCTTGTCTCTCCACTGAACACTTTCCACGCAAAGACACTATAGCTGTATTCGACCAGAGAAGTATAAAACACTAGTAATTCATGGCTGGAAGTGGCAGGATTGGTGGAGACGCAGGATTGGAACAGCAGGGTCTGCTTTGTGCAGCCACACCAAACAAAAGCAGAAAGTGACACCACAAGCAGCGTTCCAAATTACACCGCAATTAGAAACCATTTTCCTTCAGAAAAGTCAGAATGCTTCAGTGGCTGGTGTAATCTAGATCACAGGAGCGCCTACAAAACTGACAAACAAACCAATAAGCAGACAAAGCCCTGGACCGAGCGGGGCCTTTTCCTGGGCGCTCCCAGGACAAAGCCAGGGCCCAGCAGGCATTGCGGCCTGGCAGTCGGGTGGGGACTACATATTCCGGCATGCAAGGCTCTCACGTCTCTCGCTTGGTTTGAACTATATACCCCGGCATGCAAGGCGGCCACATCTCCCGGGAGGACTACATTTCCCGGCATGCTCTCCACATTGCTGGGAGGGGACCTTCCTCCATCGGAGGGGGATGAAGGGGGAGTCTCCCAAATGTGGGTTCTGTCTCCGTCAGATCAACCTCCTTTAAGAGTTTAGGGGTCAGACGCCACCTCTCAGTGGCGAATCTTAAAAGTAGCGAATTTCCGAGTTCCTTGTATCCTGCGTCGTTAAAAGAGGAAGGTTCCCGGGCGGGCGGGCGCAGGGCGGGGAGGGTCAGCCAAGCTATTTGAGCCAATGTCGTGGGAGCGGCTGTCCCGCTACCATGGCAACAAGGGCCTGGCGTAGCGAGTTGGGGCGGGGAGAACCATCCACCCATTGGGCAGCATCTTTCGAGAAGGCTCCAGAAGCAGGAAGCGGAAGTGGCACGTGGAGGGGCCAGTGGAGGCGCCGGTGAGTAAATGCCGCAGATTCTGGAAAGTTCTGATCAGTGCACTACGTAAGGCAGGAGGATTAGGACCTCCCCTTTCTGGGTCTTTAGCGGAGCGCCGGTACCTGCGCCGGCGTGAGAGCGAGCGGATCCGAGCGAGGCGGTCAGCCCGAGCCGCAGAGCCACCCCGGGGCCGCCCTCTGCTGCCAGCCGCTGCCGTACCCCGCGGAGCCGGCGGCGCCGACAGCCCGCGCGCCCGCCCGAGTGCCAGCAGAGCGGCGGGACCCCGCGAGCCGGAGCCGGGCCGGCACCGGAGGCGGCCGCAGAGCCGGGAGCACGCGCAGCCAGACCCCAGCCGGAGGCGGACGGCGAGCCGGCCATGTCGGTGGTGGGCTTGGACGTGGGCTCGCAGAGCTGCTACATCGCGGTGGCGCGGGCCGGGGGCATTGAGACCATCGCCAACGAGTTCAGCGACCGCTGCACCCCGTAAGTGCCGTTCGTGTGTGTGTGTGCGTGTGCGTGTGCTGGGGGAGATAACGAGACTTGGAGATCGTGGGGACCCCCAGACCCGCGGGCTGGCCTCGGAGCACCGCGGCGCGTGGAGGCGGCGCGCCCCACCGCGGGGCAGCCACGGGTGGGAAGGGTTTGTCGAGGGTGGGGGGGGTACGGGGCAGGGTGGGCACTCGGGCAGGTCTGCTCCGGCGATCGGCTGCGGCAGAGCCCGCGACTTGGCAGCAGCAGCCGCTTCCTTCCGCGGCCGCCCCGGTGTCCCCACCCGGCCCTTCGGAAGGAGCTGTGGAGAGCCGCCCCCAGGGCCCCCTCCTTCCGTGCCGATCTTTGCGCACCGGGAAGCCTGGGCTGCTGAGCCCCCTCACCCGCCCCTTCCAATCACCCCCCCCCCCGCTTTATTTTCCTTCTTCCGCATTGTGAATCTCCAAATGACTGGAAGCTTCTAGAGCCCGGGTGCTGCTGCTTGTGCAGGGAGCTGGCGGACTGTTGTTAGCGACCGCAGGAAAGACTTCTAAGAAAGAGGAGTCATCTTTCTTAACCCTCTCTAACGTTGTTGATCATCGTATCCAAAATAATTGAGATGTAGACATCCTCCCCCCCCCAGACTTTTTAATTAACTCATGGTAGGAGCCATTTATGAAGACCTAAGTTTATATTTCTTAATTTTGCAGCTTTAGAGAGACAATAAAAATGGCACTGTTGTGCCACTACTCCTAGAAGGATGTTTTCACTGATGAAATGAAATGTATTTATTCTGCAGCAGGAAGGGGGAAACACTTTATGAAACACCTTCTAGAGTGAGGGTTGTTTTCTGAAGAGAATATGCACAAACATACCTGCATGTGCACTGATGAAAACATTTGCTTATTTTTCAAGGAAATTAGGAGTTTTTCAACTGCACAAGATGATAAATGTAAAGTGACCCCAACGGTGAATGAGCCTTACATAATTACCTACGTGGGGATGAGCATTAGTGAAAGTGAATAGAAAAATCAGGAAAAAGCAAACATTGACAGCTAGTAATTACTATTCCCTGAGCAACCCACACATATACCTCTTTGCAAATACACCATGATCTGTTCTTTGGTAATGTTAAAAACTAATTAGAGGTTAGTAAGAAAGATGACCATCTTCTAAGCTTTTCCTCCATAGGTGCAGTTAACATCTCTGTTGTCTTTGCTCCAATGAAAGGAAAAGCTGCTCCGGAGAGTAGGCATGGTGACCAGGGTGTGCAACTAAAGCCTGCAGTTTTGGCTCTCTTTGGCTCTGAAAGATGTGAGCTGGGGGTAGTATTTGCAAGTTTGAGAGTTACTTTGGTTCCTAATTCTTATGTGTTCCAATTAATTTGACTGTCCCACTTGGAAAATAAGTAGACCCATTGTACAATGATTAGTTGATTTGAGCTTAAGATACTATTATTCCCTGTATCTTACAGATCTAGCTTCTGTTTGGCTTTTAGGATGCTGTTTAGCACCTCCTTCTGAAATCTTCTAGTTCCAGAAGAATGTTTCTGTTAAAACAGATTTAAATGTCCTCCGTATATTCCCATTTACTCATCTCTTGGACCTGTGTAGGAGTAAAACAAAATTAGACTCGATTTGGATTAGTAATGCACAATTGGATTACTGCTCTAATCTAAATCTTAAATCACTACCTCCCCCTCAAAAACTTGCTTGATCTCTCTACTGTTACTATGCATTTCCATTTCCATTGCTCAGAAAGCTGTCTCACAGTTACAAGCCACTTGTCATCTGTCAGTGCAGATTAATGTAACTGATTATTCACTCTTCTCCCTCAGCATTTATATTCCGTTCTGCCATGACTTGTCCTGCATCATTTTTCTTGCTTTTCTCTTCTGTGCTGGAGAGAGGCATACTTCAGAGGCATAACTTAGATAGATCCATTTGCTTGAGCTTACCAAAACCTTGAATTCTAAAGAGCAGATGGCATATGAGGACAAGAGTAGATGTGACAGTGACATTTAGCTTAGTACAGAGTTGGTAGCTGAGAGAGGTAAGTTATACCATATTTTTTGTTAGTCATATTTATAGTGCCAAGTTTAATAATAAATATCCTTTATAAGTATTGAAAGTATTTTCAGAGCTAGTGTTCAATATCTCATAATTGGAGATCTGGCAGATTATACCAGTACCTGAGATATAGGGAAATGCCCCTTGAACCAGGAACAGTCTTTTTTTTTGGGGTGATAGAACTTGCTACCTAGGCTGTATCTGGAGAGGGGTTAAGTATCTCTGGATGGATACCTGATGAAAGCTGTAGGCTTTCAAACTTGTCTTTTTAAGACATGTTTATAAGAATTTTCCTTTTGCACTTAAAAATGTGTGTATTACTGGTTTTTAACATTTTTGAAACATTTGGCTTATATTCCTTTTAGATCAGTAATCTCATTTGGATCAAAAAACCGAACAATTGGAGTGGCAGCCAAAAACCAGGTATGTTCTCCAGAATTCAGCGAAGGTTTAAAAAGGAAAAATCTCCAGAAACATACTAGCGTGTGAAGTATCTAAGCTTAGCTAATTTTGAGTCTTGAAAATGTGAATCAGATACTTATAAACTCTCATGGTATTTTCATTCCTTTTCTCTTTGTCTCCTCAAAAATTGACTTCATTTTTATTCTACCAACTTTTAATTTTTAGCATCTAATTTTTAAATTTTTTTCCTTTTTTTGGGTTGTAGGCCTGAACTCTGGGCCTGGGTGCTGTCCCTCAGCTCTTCAGCTCAAGGCTAAGCGTTCTACCACTTGAGCCACAGCGCCACTTCTGGCTTTTTCTGCTTATGTGGTGCTGAGGAATCAACCCCAGGGCCTCATGCATGCAAGCAAGCACTCTACCACTGAGCCACCTTCCCAGCCCATAATTTTTAAAAATTATATACAAGACTTGGAATTTTTCCATGTTCAGTTTCTCATGTTACTCATTTAAAAGTCCTTTTTTTAGAAGGAACTTCTATAAAGGTCTGTGTTCAAAAGCTTTCAGGTTATTTAGTAATTGAAGTGAGCCTAGGATAACTTTTTTTGTCTAGATCAGTGCTGTAAGATTAGAACTAAGAAACCAAACTATTTTTTAAAATGTCATCTGTTTTTAGTGTGTCTACTGTTCATATATAGATCTTATTTATGGCTCACATTATAATACTGTTGAATAGCATTTTTCTCAGTCCTTTGGGGATTGAGAAAAGAACCAACATGAAATGCTTTAAGAAAGAAAATGAAAGTTCATATAGAAAATACTGTTTAAAAGAAATAAAATTCTAAACCCTGAAATATCTCCTAATATTCTAACGAGTAAGGTTAGAAGTGATACATGACAAGGGAACGGGTAGGAGGACCAAAGAAGAAAAAGAGTTTCACACACTCAAAATGACTAGCTTAGAAAGGAGAGGGGCTTTGAGTGTATCAACAGTCCTAAAAGTGCTTGTGTTGGATATTGATAGCCTAGACCTAAATTTCTGTTGTAATTTTGTGGTTATGTTAGAAGAATGACTTGAAGCACAGAGTTGGTTTGTAGATAGCTAGACAAACTTCATCTCAGATTTTAGAAGTAATGAGAAATAGTTGATTTGTTTGAATTACTGGTACTGACAAGTTGTATTGTTAATCAAATAAGAAATAAATATTAAGCTGTTTAGTTTTAGTGACTTTAGCAGTCATAGCTCTTTTATATATGTGTGCCAGTCCTGGAGCTTCAACTCAGGGCCTGGGTGCTGTCCCTGAGCTTTCTCACTTAAGCCACAGCTCCATTTCTGGCTTTTTGGTGGTTAATTGGAGATAACAATTTCAGGGACATTGCTCTTTGAGCCGGCTTTGAACATGATCCTCAGATCTCACCTTCCTGCATAAGTACAAATAAGATCTGTTTATTGATGGGAAATTGAGGGCCTCCAGGGAAGGTTTCCCTAGGGTTGGTTTTGAGTTGTGCGTATGACCCTCTATAAAATTGCTAGAAGGTGGTAAAATTTGAGAAAATTTAAAAATCTTAACTTCTCTTGCAGCAAGTCACTCATGCAAACAATACGGTGTCTAACTTTAAGAGATTTCATGGCCGAACATTCAGTGACCCTTTCATTCAAAAGGAAAAGGAAAACTTAAGTTATGATTTGGTTCCAATGAAAAACGGAGGAGTTGGAATAAAGGTAATTCACTTGAGCCAACTGTGGGTTCTAATGGAATACTATTTACTTCATCGCTGAAAAAGACAGCATCTTAATAAACTCAAATTTTCTCCTTTTATTTTTTTGGCAGGTTGGGGGGGGACAGTACAGGGTTTTGAACTGAGGGCCTTGGACTTGCCAGACAAGTGTTCTGCAACTTGAGCCACACTCCAGCCCTTTTGCTATTTAATTACTTTTCAGATAGAGTCTCATTAACTTTTTTTTGGTGAGGGGAGAGTCTTACACTGGCCTTAAACCATAGTCCCCCATATGTCTCATATGTAGTTGGGATTACAGGTGTATACCACCACACCTGGCTAACTGAAATCTCTTAATTGGACTAGTTCCTCTTCTCTCCCAGCTCCTTTTAAGGTATAGTAAATACAGATTATATGTCTCTGAAAGTTATCCAACTAATATATCCTGCTGTAACTTCAATTGTTTTCCAACTTTCTGGCAATTTTAAAGTTTAGGTGTTTGATGGTGTTTTTAACATCTAAATGGTATTCTTTACTAAAACAAATATATGTTCCAAGACAGCCCACTTAATGATAATGAGAAAGCTTCCATTAACTGCTAGAGGCATTCTGGTCTTGTGATGAACACACAATAATACTTATTCCAGTGGTTATCTTGTAATGGAGATTTACTGCTTTCTATTGTGTTTTGATTGACAACAGAGAAGTCTGTCCTAGCAAGATTTTGTGGAGGAAATTATGTACTTATAGTTGAAGTTCCTTTAGTTTAAACTGTGTATTTAAAAAAAAACTTTTTTCCTCTACTGTAGGTGATGTACTTGGATGAAGAACATCTTTTTAGTGTGGAGCAGATAACTGCCATGTTGTTGACTAAGTTAAAGGAAACTGCTGAGAACAATCTCAAGAAGCCAGTAACAGATTGTGTCATTTCTGTAAGTAGAACTGAGCAATGTAGTGTGCTTTAATCTGCCTTCTTTATATCACTCTGGTAATAGAAAGTATTGCATATGTGTAAGCTCTTTTCTTATCATAGACCAAAATTATATTAAACTGTACTAATAATGTTCCAGAGTTTCAGAGCAATTTGAGTGATATTTTTAGCCAGAAGTGGTTGCAGGTTCTTGACTGGAGGTAAAAACCTCCTGTGGGTCTTTTTTTTTTAAATGTAGATTGACAGGTTGCACCTGTCTGTAATCATACAGCTGGTTTACTTAACCTGTAAGCTTTTCACTGGTGGAGGAATTATACTCTCAGGTGAGAATTAGTGCTTTAGGAGTTTTTTTGGTACATTTTTTATTATAAAAATGCTGTACAGAGGGGTTATAGTTACATGAGCATGGTAATGAGTATATTTCCTATTGAGCATTGTTGCCTCCTTTGTTTTTCTCCTACCATCCCTTCACTCTCATCTCTACAACTACCTCCTTCCTAAGTTATAAAGTTAATTTTCATTCAGTAGATGAATGGATCAAGAAAATGTATATAAAAACATATACAATGGAATTCTATGCCTCCATCAGAAAGAATGCCATTACCCCATTTGTTAGGAAATGGAAAGACTTGGAAAAAATTATGTTAAGTGAAGTATCCCTTCAATATAACCTTTAAGGAAAAGTTAAAGAGATATTGTGGTTTGAAAGAGGAGCAGGGACCCAGTTTTGTCCTTGCCTTGTCTCCCTGAAGACTCTACAAATACTTTTTAAATTTTTAAGGTCACTGTACAAAGTTTTCTCTTAGGTACTTTCAAGTTAAGTTATTCTGCAAATGTATTGTTGATATTTCTTTTTTTTTGATGAATGTCCTCCTCATTTAACATGTTAGAAGTCCGAATTATCTTACCTAGAAGCCTAAGTTGGTGCCTTCAGAATCATTATCCTTGAGCTTCTTCCTCTAAGGAAAATCAATGGGCTTTTCTAGAAAGTATTTTAAAAATCTTAGTTGACCTGCTGAATTACAAGGTATTCTGTTGTCAGTACCTACACTCAGTAATAAAGAAATGGAGAGGCATATGTAGAAGGAACTCTGTATTACCCATTACATTTTGACCTAGCATTAAAACTTAATAATTTCAGTAGAAACTATTTTGTAAATTTTCTTTAAGAATAAGTAATTTTCATTTTTTTAAGTGAATAGCCCTGGTGACTTTTCATTTCAAGGTAAGTAAAACTGGGTTATAGTAACAATTAATTTACTACTGTAATTTTGACACAGTGGCTCCAAAAGTAACATTCTGAAAGTTAAGGAACTGGCTGAAACTAAGTCTAAAGTTGTTTCTTTAGGGAGAACTGGGGTAGGCTCCTACTTCGTTGAAGAATTGTAAATGTATTAGAAGTGATTCATAAGTATGTTGATGTTGTAGACAAGTAATTCTCTTTATTATTTCTAGGTCCCCTCCTTCTTCACAGATGCTGAGAGGCGATCTGTATTAGATGCTGCTCAGATTGTTGGCCTAAATTGTCTCAGACTTATGAATGACATGACAGCTGGTAAGAAGTGACTGTTATAAAACTATAGAGCTTACATACCGGTTGTCCTTAAACACTTCATATGGAGGTAGAAATATAGCCTTTTAAAAAGTGTGCTAATTTCTGCCAGGGGCTGGCTGGTGTCTCATTCTTGTAATCCTAGCTGCTTGGGAAGCTAAGATCTGAGGAACACAATTATAAGCTAGCCTGGGTGGGAAGGACTGTGAGATTCTTAACTTCAGTTAACTAGAACAGGCCAGAAGTGGATGTGTGGCTTAATGATAGCTTGCTAGCCTTGAGCAAAAAAGTTAAGGGACAATACTCAAACCCTGAATTCAGACCCCAGTGCCAACACAAAAAATGAACTCTAATAGAAGTTTGTTAGCTTTGAAAACAAAAATTTCACCTCTGTACGTCCTTCTCTTTAAGAAATGGTATATTGTCAAATGCATGAGTATTTTCATTAGCAATCTGTTATTCATATATTTTCTTACTGGGTTTAACTTCATATTTCCTTAGAGTGCTCTTATAATTAAGAAACAGATTTTTCCAAATTCTGTAGTTCTAGAGTATCACAATTACCTTGACTACAAAATTCATTTTGTTTAACATTTTTCTGAATTATAGTTAGAAGTTGACTATTCATCGAATACTGATTTTAGCCTTTACTACTTAACAAGTTAAGTACTATATGTTAAGTACTGTGATATAGAGATGAGTAAAGCACTCATTATTCTTGCCTTCTAGAATTCCAGGTAAATAGAAAATTAGGAGAACCTGAGTTCTTAATTCTGAAATGTTTTTTCATTATGTTTCCATTAGGTTTTTTGGTTTTTGTGGGGGCTTGAACTAAGCCTGGCACTATCCCTTAGCTTTTTTGCTGATGTTTATATATGTTCAGAAATGCTCACAAAAATACGAGACTCTTTAAGGCTTAGGGTTTTTTATTTTTTTATTTTATTTTTATTTTTTGGTCACTTGTGGGGCTTGAATTTATTATGGCTTGGGTACTTTGCTGAGCTTTTTCACTCAAGGCTAGCATTCTATAATCACTTGGAGCCACAGTGCCACTTCCAGATTTTCTTTGATTTTATTTATTTATTTATTTATTTTTTGGTCCAGTCGTGGGGCCTGGACTCTGGGCCTGGACACTGTCCCTCAGCTCTTCAGCTCAAGGCTAGCGCTCTTCTACTTGAGCCACAGAGCCACTTGCGTTTTTTTTTCTTTTTTGCTTATGTGGTGCTGAGGAATTGAACCCAGGGCCTCATGCATGCAAGACAAGCACTCTACTACTGAGCCACCTTCCCAGCCCTTTGATTTTATTTTTTGTGATACTGGGCAATTGAACTTGTGTAGCTGGTATTTTATTTACCATTTGAGCCATACTTCCATCTCTGCCTCTTTGTTGGTTATTCTGGTATCAGATAGTCTTGGATTTTTTTCTGCCTATGCTGTTATCAAACCACCACCCACCAGATCTCAGCCACCCAAGTAGCTAGAATTACAGTTGAGAGCCACCAGTGCCTGACAAGGGCTTAGAGCTTTACAAAAAACAAGAGAGGAGGGAAGGGTTCTGCAATTGTTATGTTACAATTTTCATTTTGGGGCGTCATAGCTCGTTGTGTAAATATGTATAATATTTAAGTAAATACTGTATAATGAGCCCTGTAGCATTTGTGACTAGGTAAGTTTTGTCTGTTACATCTCTTGGTATGTTGACAAATGATAGAGTATTGTTCTAAAGTAAAAAAGAAAAGGATAAGTATCACCTTTTTTGCATGTGTAATTGTATGTGACAAATTTCCAAGAAAATGTGATCAATCAAAACAACCTTCTATTTTGTAGTTGCATTGAATTATGGGATTTATAAGCAGGATCTTCCAAGTCCAAATGAGAAGCCTCGGGTAGTGGTCTTCGTGGATATGGGACACTCAGCTTTTCAAGTGTCTGCATGTGCTTTTAACAAGGGAAAACTGAAGGTAAAGTCATATTGGCACTAGGAAGTGTTAGTTGTGACTTAAACCTAGTGAAAGTTAGACTCCTATTATTAATGAAGGGCTGTAGGTAAAGATGCTGACAAGCATTGTTGCTAACACTGATGTATGTGAATTTGGTGTGACTATCTTAGAATGTTCCTTAGGGTTTTTTTTTTAGGAAAGTAAAAACATTTTAATGTTATCTTCTGTGTTATCATTAAAAGTCAAAATTACCGACTTGGGTTTCATGTTACTGCATTTTAAATAGAACTTGTGCGCCTATTAGGCTTCCATTGTTTGAGTAGCAATAACTAAGAATATAATTACAAATATGATTGGAAAAAGTTTCTGAGTCTCTGTTGTTTTGACTAATTTAGGTTCTGGGAACAGCTTTTGATCCATTTTTAGGAGGAAAGAACTTCGACGAAAAGCTAGTGGAACATTTTTGTGCAGAGTTTAAAACCAAGTACAAGTTGGATGCAAAATCTAAAATCCGAGCACTCCTTCGTCTGTATCAGGAGTGTGAAAAGTTGAAAAAGCTAATGAGTTCTAATAGCACGGACCTGCCACTGAACATAGAATGTTTTATGAATGATAAGGATGTTTCTGGAAAGATGAACAGGTGTGTCTTCATTCTGCAATTTAAGTAAATGAAACTTGTCTCTGAAAACAGAGTCAGATGTCAGTTTCAGCCCAATGTTGTAACTCTTGGATTACATTACATTACATTGTGTGCTGCCTGCCTATGGCTTGAGAGACCACTGCTTATCACTGTTAGAACTTTGGGGCACATCTGTGACCAAGACATAGATAGATAGATAGATAGATAGATAGATAGATAGATAGATAGATAGATAGATAGATTCTGTTGTTTTACTTTTTAGTATTTATTTCTGGGCCAGTAATTGAGTAATAGTTTCATAGGGATATTTTTAAGTGTAATATACAAATAAGCCTGGAAGTAATTAAAGATCAGATCCTGTATTACAATACAACATGTGGGAGGTAAAATGATATCTGAATATGGAAATGATTTTATCTAGTAATACTTACAGAATTGATTTGTCTCATCCAACCCCTTTCTGCACTTTTAAAATATATTTACCAGAAACAAAAGTTGAAGCTATAAAAGTAACTTGCTTTTGTTGGATCATGTCTGAGCTGGGAAAAATAGTTCACTGAGTTAAGCCTTAAATTATTTTGAGAAAAATATAATCAGGATACTAGTCAGAAGCTGCTTCTAATTTATGAAGTGTTTGTCTCATTTGCTTAGGTCACAATTTGAAGAACTCTGTGCTGAACTCCTGCAAAAAATAGAAGCACCCCTTTATTCATTGATGGAACAAACTCAGCTCCAAGTTGAAGATGTGAGTGCTGTTGAAATAGTTGGAGGTGCAACCCGAATTCCAGCTGTGAAAGAAAAAATTGCCAAGTTCTTTGGAAAAGATGTTAGCACCACACTCAATGCTGATGAAGCAGTAGCGAGAGGATGTGCACTTCAGGTACCCTCAGTTCTGCTTGCTCTCTTCTGGTAGATATCCCCTAAACAGCTTCTACTTTGTCATCCTGGTGGTGGCTGTCACTTGGTAATTGGATTACAAAGGAGGTTACTCAGACAGTCCGGGAAGGGAGAAGGAAATCTTGAAGACAATAAATAGAAGATTAAGACTATTAAGCTTAAGTTCCTAAAACTGGTATTGCATTAGGCATGATTCTGAGATCATAGAAAACCCAACCATAAAGCACTAATGAGCTCTGGTGGTAGTAGTTACCATGCAGTATGAATGAGTGAAGTAGGGTGGTACTAGAGTGATGGAGCCAGGCACCAGTGGCTCATTCCTGTAATCCTAGCTACTCAGGAGGCTGAGATCCAAGGATCTCAGTTCAAAGCCTGCTCAGGCAAGAAAGTCTGTGAGACTCCTATCTCCAGTTAACAATTAGAAAACCAAAAGTAGCACTGTGGTTAAGTGGTACAACACTCACCTAGAGCTGAAATGCTGAGGGACAATGCCCAGGCCTAGAGTTCAAACACTATACCAACAAAACAAAACAAAAAGAAAAGAAAGTAAAGGATTATGAATGTTAACAAATGGCTTTAAAAAGTAAATCCTCCTTCCAGGCCCAAGTTCATGGCCACGCTGCTCATCAGACAAGGTTATCCCAGAAGCATAAAGTTAGTTTGGTGAAGTAAAAGCACCAACTCTGGAAGCTATAGAAAGTTTAGTGTATATTGGAGAAAATAGTTAATTATGACATTTTCATAAGTATGTAATGTTCTTTGTATTTTATCTTCCTTATTACATTTATATCCCTCCTTTTGTCCCCTTCCTATTTTCTAGTAGTTCTTTTGTGGAGTTTTAAATTATTTTTCCTTCATAAGGGAATATATGTCCTTAAAAATCCTTTAAATTCCACGTAATGTTGAGTTTATCATTTCTTCAAAAATAGAACTAATTTTGGCCTTTTGTTTTGCATACCACTCATCAGATGACTTGACATCTTCCATTCTTGATAAATCTATTCAGTTTCTGATCAGTTTAGTGGTTTTTATATTCCCAATCTAAATATGAACGCTCTCCTTTGTCTGTAGTATGATGCCTGACCCAATTTTGAATTTTCCAGTGGTTTTGACTCAAATTGGAAATAAAACCTTGGGCTTTACCCTTTTAAGTTCAACAATTGAAGAGAGATAAAGACAGAAGTGTTTGTGGATGTCTGTCTGTCTATCTAGTACACATACATACATGTCTGAAACTTTATGTTGACTAAAAATCATTGTCATAAGATTGTTATTTATGTGGCTAGTGATTGGAATAGTATTTAGGCAGCAGATACTTTTGTTGGTGGTGGTCAGGGGGCTTGAACTCAGGGCACTGCCCCTGAACTTATCAGCTCAAGGCTAGTACTTTATGACTTGGAACCTCAGCACCACTACCAGTTTTCTGGTTACTTGAAGATAAGAGTCTCATAGACTTTCCTGCCTGGTCTGGCTTCAAACCATGATCCTTAGATTTCAGCTTCCTGTGTAGCTTGGATTAACAGGCATGAGCTATTAGCACTTGGCTCACCAGATTCTTTATATTTGAGATGACATATGTTACAAGCAGTTTTTAAAATTTTAGTTTTAAGTCTGCCCCCTCATTAGAATTTATTTATGCTATACAACAAGTAGAAATTAGTTAAGTGCTTATGCTAATCTTTATAATATATGTATTTTTTTAAGTGTGCAATTCTTTCTCCGGCATTCAAAGTTAGAGAATTTTCTGTCACGGATGCAGTTCCTTTTCCAATATCTCTGGTCTGGAACCATGATTCAGAAGACACAGAAGGGTATGTAGCAGAAAATTACTTGTCTTTCCTATTAAAATCAGTTTTTATGGTAAAACGCTTCCTGAGTTTTTCAGCTACCAAACCTATCATATATTTTAAATGTTGAGATGGAATTGATAATTTTTTTAGAATGTCCCTTTTCTGTTTGTTTGGTATTGAAAGATTAAGTACTTGATCTATATTGAATGTCTTTTCTTCTCTAGTTGTCATGAAGTATTCAGTCGAAACCATGCTGCTCCTTTCTCCAAAGTTCTCACCTTCTTTAGAAGGGGGCCATTTGAGCTTGAAGCTTTCTATTCTGATCCTCAAGGAGTTCCATATCCAGAAGCAAAAATAGGTAAGAAATTATTAGTTAAGTATATTTTGGGTTTTGAATTAAGGACTTATCATTCATTGTAGAAACTCAGAATTGTTTTCTTGGCAATGCTGAATAGAATCTAATTCACTATGTGTTTGTAACAATGGTGGCATAGAAATCTCTTTATTCATTTTATTAATTATTACTTTGGTCTCTATAGATGAAGGGATCTGCAAACTTTGCTGTTAATTCTAAGTAATGTGTTTAAGATCACTTCCTTTCCTGTTTTTTTTGTTGTTGCTGTGTGCTGCCCACTCTGGGCTTTCACTTGGGGCCTTGCACATTCTCTGTGAACTTTTAGCTTGAAGCTAGTCTCCAACACTTGAGTTGCAGCACCACATCTGTGTTTTTGTGATCTATTGGAGATGAATCTCAAGGACTCTCCTGCCTGGTCTTGTTTCAAAACTCTCAATCCTCAGATGTCAGCCTCCTGATTAGCTGCAATTACAGGAGTGAGCCACCATTGCCTGGCCAGACTACTTTTAATGTTCACCTTTCTTTAGATGAGATGTTATTTAAAACCTGACTCAAACCACCGTGAAAATGCTTCACAGATCAACTTTTGTATTGTACCTTTTCCTTAAGGAACCACTTGGACATTTTGATAACATTTTCCATCCACTTCAGCTAATAGTAATTCTCTCCCTGTCTCTCTGCCTGTCTCTCTGTCTCTCTCCCAACCCCCTCCCCAGACTAGATTTGCCAGTATTGCCTTTTTTTTTTCTCAGTTTCTTTCTCTTCTTGTTTCTTTCTTTTCTTTTCCTTCTTTAACATTTATGAAGTTAATGTAAGAAAGTAGTCAGAAATTTCTGAATGGAAAATTGTAAGGTTTTGGTAGGTTGAGTGCTTGTGTATAAAATAACCATTAGTATTACTTCCTAAAGTAGTAGTTTTGAGAAATGATCAAGATCTAGTCCAAGATCAAGATCTTTAGTTTTGAGAGGTGATCAAGATCTAGTCCCAAGATCAAGATCTTTAACTGACCTGGTAAATAAAATCTGTAACTTGCTGTGTGTTTATGTAGACAGCATCTTAAATACAAGGCTGTTAAATATCATAATACTTTGCACATAATAAATTTATGTTACTTTTGTTTAGTGGTGGAGGTCACTACCTCAACTCTTGTTTCTATGGTAAGTCATCATTATAAAGAGTGAGGAAGCATAGATGGCCTAAATAACATCACACAGTCAGGATTCAAGTATTACTATTTGCAGTATTATTTAGTGACACTGTGGAACTGTTCTGTTGCCAATAATAGTGTCAGCATTGATAAAATTTTAACTTTTCTATTTAAAACATGATTGAAAACACTTTGGTTATTCAGTCAGAAGAATAATATTCCCTGAAAGACGATATAGTATTAAACTTCAACATTTGATGGATATCAAATACTTAAGACTTGCTAACAGATTTCCACATCAAGTGTGTGCTCATCCATCTGGAGAAATGATAGGAAGAGGCAGAGATTGCTTTCTATTGGGTATTACGTACAGTTCTGTCTAATGCATAGTAGTCACAAAAGTACTTTGGTTTTTGAAGGCTTTTACAACATATTGACTAAAGCTAGTGAACTGTAAATTTAGTGCATATTTGTAAATATACTCTGTAAGAATTATATTTATGGTGTCCACTAATAGAAATGGGAAGATTTTGCAGTACTAGCAAGCTTTATTAACATTTATATGTTTCTTATTTGTTGTCTTTACAGACATTTGGAATCAAATCTAAAATTGCCAGTTTTGTTTTGTTCCAGGCCGCTTCATAGTGCAGAATGTTTCTGCACAAAAAGATGGAGAAAAGTCTAAAGTCAAAGTCAAAGTGCGAGTCAACACCCATGGCATTTTCACCATCTCCACAGCATCCATGGTGGAGAAAGTCCCAGCGGAGGACAGTGAAGTGTCTTCTGTTGATGCAGATATGGAGGGTTCAAATCAGAGGCCACCAGAAAACCCAGACACTGATGTAAGTTAGGGGATAAATTTTTGTATTGATACATAGAATTGACTTTAATTCTCAGCCAGAGGAAATGGGGTATGGAGTGGTTAAAGTATTTTTCTTTATAGGTTATTTTTGTCAGTTTTATGAGGTGGTAAAAATACTTGCCAGTTAATAACAGTATACAGGAGTTTAATGTATTGTGATTAACTGAATTTAACTGATACGGCTTAATTAGAGTAGGTAAAAAGTTTTTGCTCTTTTGGGGGAAAGATTAGAACTACTTGGTGATTTATTAAGCCTGATTAATTTTGTAAATTGTATGTCCTGATTACAACTACAGGTTATTTCTGGTATAATCACATGTAGTTTAAGTGAAGAGATAGGCAGTTCAGTGTTTCAGTGACGGTGAGTGTAGTGTTACTGTTAAAAACATTGAAGCCCATTACCATTCTGACCCTTGGTTTTATTTTCATCTAGAAACTTCACAGCAATGATTTAAATGGCTAGTATTACATACTTCTTAGTGTCTCTTAGATATCAGTAATGCCTTCTCAGTCTACTTTTTTGAAGCTTATAAAGAAAAATATAAAAAGACAGGAATAGACAAAGAGTTTTTGGTTAACTTGAGATTTTTAGCCTTCTCCCAAGGATAGGAAAAGATTATGGCAAGTGCTGATTTATTGGGGCTGTGGGCTACTAAGGAAAGATCAAGGAAACCATTAGATAAGGTTTACTTTCTTTCCCTTTTGTTTTTGGCAGTATTGGGCTTTGAACCCAGGGCTTTCACGCTTGTTAGGCAGGCATTCTACCTCTTGAGCCACACCTCCAGCCTTCTTGCTCTGGTTATTTTTGAGATAGGTTCTTGCTTTTTGGCTTTGGCTGGACTAGATTATGATCTTCCTATTTATATTTCCCACAATAGCTGGGGTAACAGATATGCACTACCATACCCACCTTTTTTTTGTTGAGATGGGTCTTGTAAACTTTTTTGCCCTAAGTTGGCATGGAGCTACTCTCCTCCTTAGCGCCTCCCATAACTGGTATAACAGGACTGTGCCACAGTGCCTAGCTATTGGATGAGTTAGGGTCTTACGAGCTGGACAACAAATTGGGTGTTCCAGATCTCTGCCTCTCCAGTAGTCTTCCAAATTGAGTGTGCTGTCTTTGATGCCTTATAACTTTAAATTTATAAAAGTAGCTAGGATGATAGGTATGAGCTACTGACACCAGGCTGCTTTCCTTTTCTTAACTTGATTTTCCATCAGCATCGTTAACATGTACCATTCTTTATCCTGAGATCTTTTAAGTTATAAATAGCTGAATCACAAAATGAAAATGGGCAGAGAGCTGCTCAGATATCTATAACTAGAGTGATAAACTCCAGAGCATCTGGAAGTTGGTCATTTTTGGTAACTGTTCAGTAAATCATTATGGAGATGGTTGATAGGCATGATGACTGCTAGGGAAAACTAGGGTTTAGACACTTGGTTCCTTTCTGGGATAGTAATCTATTCCTGTGCTTTCAATGTCTGCCCAAGGGTTGGGAAAGTTTCCTAAGGGGAGATCCTGATTGTCACATCAATCACATACCTACTTGTGTCACTTAACCACATTAACTGCTCTCCTTCACAGGATTTCTTACAGGTTTAAGAGAATCTAGGGGTTTTCAAGTGTTTTGCATTCATTTTGTTTTTAATCAAGTATCTTTCTTGCCCACCTACTAAAATTTCAGAAACTTAGTACTGTCTTTGGTGCCCTATAACTTTTTAAATTCATAAGAGTACACCTGCTTTCTACATCCTTTGTGCCTGGGCTTTCATTTCAGAAAAATATCCAGCAAGACAACAGTGAAGCTGGAACTCAGCCCCAGGTACAAACTGATGGTCAACAAACCTCACAGTCTCCCCCTTCATCTGAACTTCCCTCAGAAGAAAACAAAATCCCAGATGCTGACAAAGTGAGTGCCTCTTCCAGTTCATTCCATTGGACAATGTTACAACGTATTATCATTAGTGGTATTAAATCTATAGACTCAAGAGCAAGCTCCAAGTGATTTTTATCCTGTGTAGATTTTTTTGTTGTTCATTTTCTATGTGTTAACTCAACTAAAACCAGTTAGAAATACTGAAGCTCAACCAAAGGAAATTGAATACCTTGCTCTTGACCTGAAAGTGCCTCTTGATTAAATGCCATATGAGTAACAAGAGCCTAATGCAAAAGCATTTGTTGTCTTCTAAAGGGCAGAGATACCTGCTAATGCCAGAGGCAGAAATAGACATGCCCTGGTACCACTTGAATTAATTAGATGATAAATACATGGGCTATAGGAGTTCGTTCAGTAAGCGTTTTCTCCTTTAAAGTCACCCGTCATATTTAGGTCAATTAATTATGATAACCAGATGGTGTTTCAAAATAATTGTTTCTTTGCCTTGTCCCATAGCAGATATTAGAAGCTAAATAAAATTGTAGTATTGTATCTTTTGACAAATACAATTCTAATCAGATCTTTAAAGCTCATGGCCAGATGGATATTGAGAGCTTCCCATTGCCCATTGTTCCTGCAGATCAGTCTGTATTTCATAAATGTTCTGTCTCTTAAAGTTGCATGCATATTACTAACCTGCCTTTGAGCTTTGGTTTTCACTCACATCTGAAGATAGGGTTCGTTACCATAAAGCATATTACAGAGTTGTTAATGAGAGTCAAGGTGAATTTTACATTATGTAAGACTTGCAGGTTTTCATTTGCCTGTGTCTTGTTAAATTGTATGGGGACTCAATGTGAGCTGTGGGTCCTGATTGATTTCTTAGGTATCTCTTTGCTTTCTCCTTCTAATGGGAATTATGTGATTATGGTGTAGTTATTTGGAAAAATAGGTACTTCATTTCCGTATTACCCCCTTATAAGTTTAGGGTTATCAGTCTTGGCTGACAGTCCCCATAACTGTCTTAAAACTTGACACTGGGTAGAAACTCATGTTCATAGTTACAGATAGAACCACTAGGCTCAGCTCTTTAACTCTACATGTTCTCTTTTGGAGGGTTTCTCATCCATGTCAAAATACCATTTTGTGGCATATTGGTTTAATTTTGTGCTGCTTTGTCAGAATGCATATCATCATCCTTTTTTTTTAAATTAGTTTTTAATTATCTTTAGATAGTTGTACAGAAGTGTTTCAGTTCATCATGTCAGTTTATGAGTACAATGTATTTTGATCAGTATTACCCCTTCCATTGTTCTACCTGTCCATCATTCTTTTTGTTCAAGTATCTGTTGCACTTGTGTCTTGCTAAGTGTCATCTGATACATTTTTCTTTCCTGTGGATCATGCCTTCAGAGCATGCATACTCCATTGCATGATTCTTACATAGTATCTTAGAAAAGAGGAAGGAGACCGTAAGAGACTACAGGCTAGCTGATCTCCAGTGATACAGCATGTAGCACTTAAGATAGAGTTGTGATTCCTTATTAAAGCAGAAATGCAAGTTTGGGAAGCACAGTCCAGTGTGTAATTTAAGTCAAATTGTTGAACTTCTGTAGTCTGCTTCTTCAATAGTGTCTAGAATTGTTATATCCTTTATAACTCAAATTGCCCATAGCAGTGATGGTTGTGCTTCACAGGCTAATCTCATACCATTTTGACATCATAGTCAGAATACATGTTATTATGCACCTTGTCATTACCATCTAATCTGTCTTATAGCTCAGTCTCCTCAATTGTGTTGTCATTTGTGCTAGGAAATGTGCCAGGAACTTGAAGAACGGGAAATACAGAAAAGGCTTAGAAAATTCAAGGCTGTAGGAGATCCTTCTTGAGCCCTGTATTTACATATTTTGAAAAGCCTACAGTACATTTTGAATATCCTTCATTCATCAAACTTGGGTCCAGAAATGTTTTGACTTGGTATTTTTAATTGGAGTATTTGCATAAACATCATAAAGCAAATTGGGAATGGGAAGCAAGTCTAAACAATAAATCATTTGTTTCCTTATGGGTATACTTTATATGCATAGCCTGGAGGTAATCTTAAACTATTTATAATGTGTTTGTATTTTAACTGTGACCTATCCCATGAACTCAGCTGTGGAATTTTCCACTTGTGGTGTAGGCATTGCATATTTCAGATTATAGAGTATTTTAAGTTTTCAGATTACTACCTTAAGAAAGATAGTATCTATTGTCTTTTTTGGAGACAGGGTTTTATGTAGTGTATGCTGGCCATATAGTCCAGTCTGACCTTGAACTCAGTCCTTCTAAGTGCTAGGTATAAGCATCTGCTACCAGGTCCAGCCATCTTTTATTTCTTTCCAATTTGCAAAAGTTACTTATGAGAAATGTCAAGACCTAAAGGCAGGTGGTAGAAATGCTGTATTTGTTCACACAAATATTCAGTCTCCCAAGTTTAATAGGAATTTTTTAACATTTACTGTGGGGCTAATTGAAACCAAAGTATGTGTTATACAGAAATATATAAACATATATATATATATTTATAATGTTAAGAATTGCGTAAATCCTAACAGCTTCAGTGTTGGTTGAAGTTTTGTTAAGTTTATTTTCAGATTCTAGGATAAAGGTATGGAATTTGGAATTTTGACTTGGTATTCACAAAGATGCTTAGTAGAATTAGAAAGTAAAGGCTTATGAAGAAAAGCATAAGCAGAAAAGATATTAGGTCTAGTAGAAAAGAAAAGAAGAGAAAAATATGCTGGTGAATTGATAAGGGAAGATAGGACATATTGAGATTTAATTGCAGCCCTGATTTAAAATGGAGAGTGGGGAATTAGGAGATCTTAGGTGGTTTTACTTCAGTTTAGGGATTTACTTTTGTCTTACATTATGAGTAAGTAATGATAGATACTTTTTTTCTCATGGATTGAGAATTTTCCCCTTTTTTTCTTTAAATCTTCTTTCCCAAGGCAAATGAAAAGAAAGTTGACCAGCCTCCAGAAGCTAAAAAACCCAAAATAAAGGTGGTGAATGTTGAGTTACCCATTGAAGCCAACTTGGTCTGGCAGTTAGGGAAAGACCTGCTTAACATGTACATTGAGACAGAGGTAAGTATTTTAAGTATTTTTGTTTTGGAGTATAATTAATTCTGACATATTTCTAATACATAAAGTGACTATAATTCTTCATATCCTAATAAGTTTTACCAGTTTTTGCATGTCTCAGAAATCTGTGCTGTAGATTGTTCTGCTTGGTATAAAATAACCCCAGTTCTTCTAAAGAAATTGTGATGGTATGTCTAAGCAGAGCACAATGGAATCTAGGCAACTCAAACTATTCCTATGAAGAGCTGAGTACCTGTGACCCATGTCTATAGATAGTCCTAGCTTCTCACAAGGCTGAGGTTTGAGAATTAAGGATCAAAACCAACCTAGGCAGACAAATTTTTGAGATTCTTACCTCTAGTTAACCAGCAAAAGCCAGAAGCAGAGGAATGGCTCAAGTGGTTAGAGCACTAACACTGAACAAGAATGTGAAGGAAGCCCTGAGTTAAAAGCCCCAGTACCACCACACAAAAAAAATCCTATTAAGTTATACTGCTTTTTAGTTTGTAGAAAAATAGATGAAGTAATTGAGATTCTTTTTTTTTTTTTTTTCCTGCTACTGGGGGTTGAACTCAGGCCAGGGCCTCATGCTTGCTCACTTTGCTGGCAGAAGAGTGTAAGACGTCATCTCCCATCATGAATATCCTAGTCTTAGCCTCCCAAGTATCTAGGATTATAGGCATGGTCGCCAGCACTCAGCTAGTCTTTTCTTATGTGAAATACTTAAAATGAGAAGATAACACAACTTTCACCTGTGTATTTATTGAAGGAACAACTGTATAAATAAAGTCTTATGAAATAGAAATAAAAACACTAATTTTTTATGTGATCATTTTTTTTTAACATTCATGTCTAGTGGAAATTGAGTTTGCTTTTGGAAGTAATGTTTACTGTTTCCTAACAGGGGAAGATGATAATGCAGGATAAATTGGAAAAAGAGAGAAATGATGCTAAAAACGCAGTGGAGGAATATGTGTATGAGTTCAGGGACAAGCTGTGTGGACCATATGAAAAATTTATATGTGAGCAGGTATGACTTAAAGGTTTCTTCTTATTTGGAATCTCATAAATGTTTAATAAAATTTGACATGTATGCCTTTTCTAGATTATTTAACTTGGGGTTTTTGAACACATAATAGTTGGGAAGTAGATATTGTATAAACAAAGCCAAGAAAGAGGTTAGAGTTCATTTAAACTCAGGTTAGGAGTTGTGCTAGTCCTGAGATTCTTGGCTGTCTATCCCTGCCCCTGATGCGTGGTGTTCATTGAGGGATTGTCAATTTGAGTATGTGCCCTTTTGGTGTAATTGAGATGTACATAAGAGAGGAACATAAGCTCTAAATCCATAACGAAAACATTTCAATATTGTGATTATTCAGAATTGGATTTCTAAGATAAAATATTCTAAGTCAGGAGCAGTATAACTACAAACATTGAAATGTTTCCCTGTTAACAAGACAGGGAAGCCACAGACAACTAGCCAGTCCCTTGTGTAAAAGATTATATAGAACAAATTAGGAGAATGTTAGAATTATCAGTGAGGAAAATCCAGCTTGATCATTGCCTTCCCAGGACAAGATTAGCTATTTTGTTGCAGCTTCTTTGTTTTGTTATAATAACTACTGATGAAAGATTGCCACTAATCTTGTCTTGTTTGGTATGTAGGAACACCAGAACTTCTTGAAGCTCCTCACAGAGACTGAAGACTGGCTCTATGAAGAAGGAGAGGACCAGGCTAAACAGGCATATGTTGACAAATTGGAAGAGTTAATGGTAGGCTTTTCTCTTCCTAAAGACTGGTACGGTGTTTTTAAATTGTAGACTTTTAAAACATAACTGTAACAACTATTTACTACATTTGATTTTAGAAAATTGGCACTCCTGTTAAAGTCCGATTTCAAGAAGCTGAGGAACGGCCCAAAATGTTGGAAGAACTGGGACAGAGGCTGCAGCACTATGCCAAGATAGCAGCTGACTTCAGAAGCAAGGTAGTTGTGTGCACAGTGAGGAATCAGCTTAGATTTTAATAGCCAGCATTTTGGTTCAGAAGTTTTTTATTGTGAATAAATTTTTTTTTTTTTTGGTTGTGGGGCTTGAACTCTGGGCCTGGCTCCTGTCCCTCAGTTCTTCAGGTCAAGGTGAGCACTCTACCACTTGAACCACAGCACCACTTCTAGTTTTCAGGTGGTTAATTAGAAATAAGAGTTTCATGGACTTTCCTTCCCAGGCTAGCTTTGAACTGTAGTCCTCAGTTCTCAGCCTCCTTAGTACAGGATTGCAGGTGTAAGCCACTGGTGCCCAGCTTTGTGAATAGAAATTCTTAAGGAAGTTTTAGTATTTGATATCAGAGGTACACTTAAACTTTATGGAAAGTTGGGTGAACTAGTAAACTTAAGTATTCTTTTTTTTTTTTTTCTGTTTAGGATGAGAAATACAACCATATTGATGAATCTGAAATGAAAAAGGTTGAAAAGTCTGTCAATGAAGTGATGGAGTGGATGAATAATGTCATGAATGCTCAGGCTAAAAAGAGTCTTGATCAGGATCCAGTTGTACGTATTCATGAAATAAAAGCAAAAATCAAGGTGAGTGATACTTTTGACTACTGTATTCTCTCTCATGAGCTCAACTGAAAATTATTTGAGCCTGCTTTGTAGGTAGCTATTTTCCCCATAAATCTTACCTCATCCTTATTAAGACTTAACCTGCTTATTCATTTATTAAGACTGACTGTCTTCATTCATTATTACTATATATTATGAAATACAGAAGGCCTCCCTTGTAAGTTTAGATACCTATTTATTCAGTTCAGCAGTATGTTTGTTCAGGTCATTAGTTGTTCTAGGGGATACATACTTTATATAAAAACCAAAGCCCCTGCCCCGGGAACTCACATTCTCATTGAGGGGAGTCCAGCCACACAAACAAGTATGTGGGACCTGTATCTGATGGGGAAAAAATTCACATAGGGTAAAGGTTTAGAGTGCCTAGGTGGTTATTTTTACTGGGAAAGGCTTTGCTGCACATATGAGAAGAAAATAAGGCTGGGCTTTTTGTCTGGGATAATATTCAGCATAGTGAATAGAGACCAAGGGAAAGCAGAGCTTTTTAGCTACTTTTGTTGTTATTGGTTGTGGGGCTTGAACACTGGGCCTGGCGCTGTCCCTCAGCTCTTCAGCTCAAGGCAAGCGTTCTACCACTTGAGCTACAGGACCATGTCTGGTTTTCTGGTGGTTTATTGGAGATAGGAGTCTAACGGTCTTTACTGCCCGGGCTGGCTTTGAACCACGATCCTCAGATCTCAGCCTCCTGAGTAGCTAGGATTACAGGTGTGAGCCACCAGCACCTGGCCTTAGCCACTTTTTAAGATTTAGGCTCAAATCTATTTTTCTTCATCTCTGAATCACTTTCTTTGTTCTATAATATTAGAATCATAATTCTTTAATGTTATGAGGACAATCAAGATACTAAATACTATCCACGTCTGAATCCTAAAAGAATCATTTCCTTTTTTTTTTTTTTTTTTCTGGGCTTGGGTACTGTCCTGTGCTCTTCAGCTCAAGGTGAGCACTCTACCACCTGAGCCACAGTGCCACTTCGGTTTTCTAGTGGTTTATTGGAGATAGGAGTCTCATGGACTTTCCTGCCCTGACCAGTCTGGCTTTAAACCGTGATTCTCAGATCTCAGCCTCCTGAGTAGCTAGGATTACAGGCGTTAGCCACCAGCACCTGGCTCTTACTTTTCTTCTAATCAGGCTTCAGGCTATGGTTTGGAGCAATGAGGAAATGGAATTTTTTCATTGATGCATGAAGGGAGTTAGTAGAAAAACAGTCAGATGTGAGGAAGTAGTTGGAAATGAACTGATGGGTCTGAGTTAATCTGTTTTCTTAGGAATTGAACAATACTTGTGAACCTGTTGTCACACAACCCAAACCAAAAATCGAATCACCTAAATTGGAAAGAACTCCAAATGGCCCAAATGTGGACAAAAAGGATGACGATTTAGAAGGCAAAAATAATTTTGGTGCTGAACCTCCACACCAGAATGGCGAATGTTACCCCAATGAGAAGAGCTCTGTTAATATGGACTTGGACTAGAAGACATTAAGTTGGCTTACTCCTTCAATCAATGAAATATTTTTGCCATAGTATGTGATTCTACATAACAGACTGAGACTATTTATATTTTCTTTTTTAAGGATGTCTAGAAATTTTGTGTACTATATGGAAACTGAACAAAGCTTAAGTCTGTAGTCTTTGTGATAAAAAGGGAAGATTGCCTTGGTAACTTTCAGATTCCTGTGGAATTGTGAATCCATACTGAGCTTCTGTGCAGTATCACCATTTGCATCACTGAGGATGAATTAATTCACTTTTGTTTTTGGAAACAAACTATACTGCTTGTTCAAGAAGGTTATGGTTAAAATCCTTTAAACATTTGTTCTTGCCAAGGTAGTTTTCTTGCATTTTGCTCTCCATTTCAGCATGTATGTGGGTGAGGATGTTTATCAACAATGCTAAGTCTGGTTTCAAAAGGGCTTTCAAAAATTAATTCTGTCCAATAGAATGATTTTGCTTTCATATTAAAATTTCAGTGAGTGAAACAGCTAGTGAAATTGTTAGCATGCAGACAAAACTAAAATTATCTCATTATACCATATGCACATTTGTCATGTAAAGATGTGACATGGAATAAACGGTGATCCTGTTGTAACTGATTGTGTGAACTTCATGAGCTTTAAAATAAAGTTCATCCTATGGTGTCATTTCTAAACTGTTGGTTTTCACATTGATTTAAAGATGGGAATGGAGAAGAGGAATCAATTATTGTAGCAGAAATGAAGTTACTTATGAAAATCGCTTTTCTAAATGAAAGCCACTTTTTCCTGAAAAATGGTTGAATAGCCTTACTGCATTTCAAACTTTTCAATACAAAGTAGATGTAACTTAAAATACCAAGAAAAAATTAGTGTCTCCCTGCATTGCTTATCTTTGTAGTCTTTAATGTAATGGTGGGTATATTTGTGTGGGTCTTACTATATTGGCTGTTTTAAGTCCTATGACAGGGAAATTATCAGGAAATACAGTCCACTATTATAACTTCATAGTTGGGGTAAATTCTGTGATAAGGGAATGCTTCAAAATACCTTAGCTGATCACACCACTGATGGATAGATTTTTCCAGTTTTTCTTTTCTTTGTTTTTGTTGGTTGTGGGGTTTGAACTCGGCTTGGGCACTGTCCCTGTGCTCTTCAGCTCAAGGCGAGCACTTAACCACTTGAGCCACAGCGCCACTTCCAGTTTTCTAGTGGTTTATTGGAAATAAAAGAGTCTCACGGACTTTCCTGCCCGGGCTGGCTTTGAACCGCGATCCTCAGATCTCAGCCTCCTGAGTAGCTAGCATCACAGGCCTGAGCCACCGGCGCCCAGCTCTTTTTTTTTTTTTTTTAAGTAGTTATACAAAGGAGTTGCATTTAACAGTGTAGTTGATGAATACAAAATACCAATTTCACCCCTTTCAACATTCTCACCTATGATGATTTTCCAAGGGCAATGTTGAAAATACCATTGTGGGGGTAGGATGGGAAGAAGACGTGTTCTTGGATTAGATGACCATGCTGCCAGCAAGGGTCCAACTGCTGCTTCAGTGTGGCTAGAGTTTTTGTGGTAGAGGAAATTTGCCTGTAGCCACCCTATAGACTAGCCACTCTGCGCCATAGCCTCACAGACAACCTTGCATAGGAACTTGGGATACTTCAGTATCAGCTGAGAACACAATCCCCAGCTGAAATACCCATAGTTTAAAGCCTATACCCACACATCAAGTAACTGGCTCTTTCTATGTCTGTTAAGTCCTTACCTGAAATTTGCCTGTTTTTCGTAAGTTACATACTTCATATAGTCTCATGACATTGGATCTTAAGGATCAAACATTAAAGATTCTCTACTATTTGTCAGTCACTTAGTTTTTCCTACTTCATGTCATATATGTAGAAGCTTTACATTTTTTTTTCTGTAATGTGATGGGCTTTTTTGGGTCTTGTGCCCATTTAAGGCTTGCTAAAGGATGCCAGCTAAGAAGTTTGCCCAGTGAAGGTGGGAATAAATATTCCTAGTATACCTGGGGCCCTCATTGTGTCAGCTTCCCATTGCTGGGACAAAGTGACTGGGAAATCGGTTTAAAGAAGGAAGGATAGTTTTGGCTCATGGTCTCAGAAGTTTCAGGCCTTGGTCACTTTGCTCTGTTGCCTTTGGGTCTAACAACAGTATATCATGACCAAGTATGACAGAGAAATCTGCCATATGGTAACTGGGAAGCAGAAGAGGGATGGGGTCCTCATACCCCTCCCGAGGCCCATCCCCAGTGATCTTTTCTTCCATTACACTTCTCCCAGTAGTGTCACAGACTAGCAACTAAAAACCTCCAGCGCATGGCCTTTTAGACATGTAAGACCCAAGGGATACAGGTGTTAAAAATAAGGATGGGACCACATTCTTTTCCCTTCTGCTCCAAAATAGACTTGACAATGGAGGAAGCATTATTAGCATCAGGCTACGTCTTTTGATGGTTAAGAAATTTGCTGTAGAATCATGGTACAGAATCAGTGGTTTATTTAATTGTAAAAGTGATGTACAGAAGGGTTACAGTTACATATGGAAATGGGTACAATTCTTGTCCAACATTGTCACCCCCTCCTCCCAAGTCCAACAGTGTCCAATATTGTTCCCCCCCCAAGTTGTTTCAAACAATGGTTTAAAGGAGAGCTGGGTGTGGTGACACACTTGTAACTCTAGAGTTACTCTAGAGTGGGAGTTTAGGAAGAACCCAGTTCACCTCCAGTCTACAAAAACACAAGTCTAGCCCCTCTAAAACAAAGTGTAGTGGCACATGCCTGTAATTCCAGCTTTTCTGGAGGTGAGAGGAGTATCTAGTCCAAGTTTGTCCTGGTTAAAAAAAAAAAAAATCTAAAGACAAAAATCAAAAAGGTTAGAGTTATTACTGAATGGTGAGTTGGCCCTCCGTTCCAGCATCAGTGGCTAGAGATAATCTGGAAACTGTAAACCTGCATTTTCGGGGGGGGGGCTGGGGGCGGGGAGTAGTACACTCCTAAATTGATTATAATACACTGGAATACCATTAGCTCAAACACTTGTGGCAGTACTTAGAAATCATGTAGAATCGTATAATTTGTGGAGGAGATGGGGAAAAACAAGTCGTTTAAGGATACAGGTGGACCCGATGCAACAATGAGAAGTACAAGTTGTCATGTCAAAAACGAACTTTACAACTTTGGTGGGGGGGAGGCTGGGAAGGGATGTGAAGGGTAAACAAAGGAGGAGGCTGCAATGCTTGATAAGAAATGTACTCATTATCTTGCCCATGTAATTGTAACCCCTCTGTACAGTATGTTCACAAAAAATAAAAATTAAAATTAAATTAAAAAAACAAAAGAAATCATGTAGAATCTCAGACATGTGCCAGTTTAGATAAATACCTTGCTTGGCAAAGGACTGAATGTTATATAATTTTCAGTCAGATTTTCACATTGTGGCAATAATTCTAAAAATGCCCCCGTGTGTCGGTAACTAACAAGGAAAATAAATGAACTTTGTGGTTTTGTCCTGATCCTAGGGCTTAAAATCTGGGCCTCACACTCTTGCTTGACATTTTAAGCTCAAGGCTGGTACTCTACACTTGAGCCACACCTCCACTTCTGGCTTTATGCTGGTTAACTGGAGATAAGGGTCTCTTGGATTTGGCTCAGCCTCCTGATTACCTAGGATTGACAGGTGTGTGCCACAAGGGCCTGTACAGATTGAACTTTGAATCTAATCTCATGTTGATTATGTCTGGCCAATGATTTACTTTTTTGGGAGGTAAAACAATATTTACTTGATTTTATTGCTCCAATTCTTCCATCAAAAGTAGGAAAGTCACTGGGCACTGGTGACTAAATCCATATATGGAGAAAGAGGCTTACTTTTTCACAAAGTGCTATACAGTTTAGGTATAATTAAGCCCTGCTAGCAGATGGGATGATCAGAAAACATTGCTCTATTTGCTCTGGATGGAGAGCTGCAGGATTTCTCCTAGTTTCACTTAGCTAGCCTGAGGCACAATTCACAAGGCAGCCAATCAACACCGAGTCCCTTTTGAGTCTGTATTACATGTGGTTTGTACAGTCTGTGTGACATTCTTGAGGAACTCTCTGATAATTAGCTTTCCCAGCCATTTAATTTTTTTCTTCTCAGAATTGTGGTTTTGGACCTCTTTGACAGCTCTTACTCTGCTAAAGGGCAGGTAGCAGTGTGGCCCAGTAGAAAGAGCACCTTTGTGGAGAAGAAAGGGGTTTCATTTCCAAATTTTCCTGCCCCTCAAGTACTCTGGCTTTTAGGTAGATAGTACTTCTCTGAATCTCCACATTCTCACCCAACTGACAATCTCTTGTGGCTCCCTCAGGGATACCAATTTTTTAGCTGCAGCACTGTTGACCTTTGCAGCAGGCTTGGGAGAGGGGCTGCATCCTGGGCATTGTAGGATCTTTAACAATAGACCTGACCTCTGCCCATCAGATGCTAGTGGCATGCCCAACCCCAATTTGAATATCCAAAAATGTCCCTTGAGAGCCACTGACTCTAACAAGTTGTTTTTCTTTTCTGAGCATTGCTTGATGTAGTCTGTGTGCTGAATATGTGCGTTGGTATTCTCATTTGCTTAACATTATTTTCCCCTATAATTAGCATTTTCACTTGGACTACAATTGTAGTTATCCTACTTCCTCTCCTTTGGCTTCTGTCTAGCGGAATTTAGGGATGGATGCAAAATGCAGCTGTGCCTCTCCATAGCTTTGTGTTTGTTGTGTTTTATCTGCGGCCAGTTTAACAGCGATAGTGTCTCACTGTCACGCAGTCTGGTGCTGTTGGGGGAGGGGGAAAGCTTTCCTAAAACCCATTGCTGTGGTTTGGGTAAATGTCTCCTTAAGGTCCATGTGTCTTAAAGGCTTGGGAACCAGGGTGGTGTTATCAGGCAGTGATGAAGCCTTAGGAGGTAGGCCCTAGAAGAAGATCTGAAGGTCATTAGGGGTAGACCTTCAAAGGAGATGGTGGGACTCCACCTCTTCCTCTTTTTTGCTCTTTGCTCCATGGTGCATGAGGTAGCAGTTTTCCTGCCATCCACTTCCTGCCATTACCATCAGCCCAGCAGCAGCCCAGAGCCATGAGTCCATCCCACCTTATTTTAGAACTTCCACAACTACCAGCCAAAAATACCCTTTTCTGTTTGTAAGTTAATTATCTTAGATATTTTGTGATAGCAATGTGAAGCTGACTGATACATCCTCCAACATCCTCTTACACAGATGGATGCTATCCTAAGATTACCTACTGTAGTAGGAAAAAAATCATCACTTTTCTGTGGCTGTAACTGAATACCTGAGTCCAAGTACATTATAAAGAAAAGGTTTAATAAGTTCACAGTTTGGGAGGATGAAAGTCAAAATAGCATGGTGCCAATTCTGGCAATGGCCCCATGGCTGCACTGTAACATGGCAGAAGTGTTTACAAGAGTTATCACTCACCGGTGAGACAGGAATCCAGGGTGGAAAAACTGAGGAGTGGCCAGTTAGAACAACCCTTTCTTGAGAACTAACCATGATACCTCAAAAACCACATTAAATCAGGCAGCAGTGGCTCATGCCTGTAATCCTCGGGACTCAGGAGATTGGGATCTGAGGAGGATCAAGGGTTTTGAAGCCAGCTTGGGAAAGGAAGTCT